GCCCCTCACTCCCGACCCGCAGCCCCTGCTACCCCAGCCCTGGGCTCGCACCTCAGCCCTGCCGGTGCCCCTCACTCCCGACCTGCAGCCCCCTGCTACCCCAGCCCTGGGCTCCTGCCTCACCCCACAGCTCTGGTGATGCCCGGCACTACCCCCCAGCCCCCTCCTGCTATTTGGGTCCTGAGCCGTGGGTGCCCCTTTAATCCCGATCCCCAGACGTTCCCCGTCTCTCTCGTCCTCTCCTCTATCACCACAGAGAGCCCGATCGCTGTCCTTGTCCTGCCACCTCCCCTCCCCTCCCCTCGCACTGCAGCTGCTCCTGAATCCTAAACCATGGACAACCTCCCCCCCCCTCCCCCCGGCCCCTGCTTCCCAGACACATGCTCCAGCTCAGGCAAGGGAACGCCCTGAGGAAAGTTTTGTTCATTTTCTCGCAGCAGCCAAGGAGGTGGCAGGGTGCCAAGGGGCGCAGCCCGCAGGAATGCTGGCGAGCAGTTGCAATCCGATCTGATCTCTTGGCTCCGGTCCAGTCCAACAGCCAGGGGCGGCCCCCCCTGCCGGCGGGGGGTGGGGGGGGAGATGCTCACCCACCTCTCCCTGGGCTTCTTTGAGAAATCAAACCACTGCCTCAAACCAATCTGCTCCCTCCCCACCCGCCTGCCCGGTCCCGTCCCCCAGCAGCACTTGGATCACGCGTCCACCAGGTCTGGTTCTCACTGCCGCTCCCACTGGGCAGGCCCGTGAGCCCCTGGGAACGTGCCCCGATGGCTGGAAAGATCCCTCAGCTGAAGTCCCCGGTTCACCCCCAGGTCTGCCCGTGGTCAGGCAGGCCAGACCCGCCGGTACGGGCGGTTAGGGGGTTAACTCGTCGGGCCATCAGAGCGCCGCATTGGCAGCCTGGCCTGTGTTTGCTGCTGCGCGATGCCCAGGCTGGCTGGGTCCCAGTCAGCGCTCCCACCGCTGACGGGAAACCGACCATTCTGCCAGACTGGAATGAAGGGGGAGCACTCGGGGGAGGGTGCTGGGCTCCAGGCGGGTTGGAGACGCGGCATCAAGGCTTAAATGACCAGAGAGCCTCCCCCTCCCTCCTTCTGGGTATGCCTTGTGACCCGTCACACGCAGACACACGCATGTGCACAAAGACATGCAGACCCACACGTGTACATGCACACAGACCTGCACACACAAACATGCACACAGACACATGCGTGCACCCATGCCCACAAATAGCCATCCATGTACATACACGCAGACACACGTATGCACCCAAGCACACTTGTAGCTATACATGTACAGACACATATAGGCACATATACATCCATGCACACATGTAGCCATACACAGGGCCGGATTAACCTTTTGTGGGCCCAGCGCCAAACATATTTTGGGGTCCCTATAGGGACAATGGAGCATGGCAGGGGTGTCGGTCCCCGGAGTGAGGGGCTGGCCAGGAGCAATGGCATGGTGTGACGAAGTGGGGGATTTTCTTGTTTTTTCTTGTTTTCGGTGGGGTTTCAATGGTTTGCATGCGGAGGGGGTGGGACTCAGTTTCTCTGGGTGTTACTGGTTTAACGAGGTGAGGGGAGAGGGAGTTTGTTGGTACATAGGACCGGAGAGGGGACTTGGGACCCCAGCCAATGGCCTGGAGGATGGAGACCCCAGCGACCGGTGACCTGACGACCCGGTGACCTGGAGGCCCAGCTCAGGAGTTGCAGCCGGTTCTGGCCAGAGGGCGGACAATGGGCTGCAGAGTGAGGACCCAGTGACCTAACCAGCCGGTTCCAGCCAGAGGGAGAAGCAGGAGGGGAGGCCCTGGTTTACGACCCTGTTTACCTGGAGGGAAGACAATGGACAGAGGCGGGGCTTGGGGCCGGGGATCTTCGAGGCCCAGCTGGGAGCAGGGGGGCTCTGGGCTGGAGAGGGGGAGCAGGCAGAGCCCACCTGGTTGCAGAGAGACTGGGATGTGCTGGGCTGAGGGAGGCCAGGCCTGAGGCCCTGAGAGTTTCCTGTGCTGTGTTCAACTCTCAATAAACCCTCCTGTGTCACAGTGGCTGAGAGTCGCTCCGGTCTAGAGAACAGGGTGGCATCAACCCCCTCGGGGCTGGAGGCCCGGGGGATCCAGAGCGAGTGGACTCCCTGAGGGGGCCCATGGCAGAGACAGATGTGCTGAGGCTCAGAGAGGTGCGGCTCCAGGAGGTGGAGGGGCTTAACCCCGAGAGAGAGTGGACCCCCGAGAAGGGCTGTCTCACTGAAAGGGGCACCCCCCATGGACCGCACGGGGCCAAGAGTGGGCACGATCTGTGCGTCCGTGACACATGGCAGGGGCGGCCGCGCTCTGCCCAGCCCCATACGAGGGCACTATTTACAAACTGGCAGGTGCCAGACGCCCTGTGCTGTCAGCATGCCCCATGCCGCGCCACATGTCCTCCCCGCCCGACACCTGAACACCCCTACCCCCGATTCCCTATGGCCAGAGCCCCCCCAGACGCACTGTGCCCAGCGCCCCCGCCAGATCCTGCCAAAAATGCACAGCGCCCTGCACACCACCACCCCTGCCCAGCGCCCCCCCCGCCCACAGCCCCACCACAACTGCCCAGCACCCCACACAGAACCCCAACTCCCTACTGCCCCAACACACACAGAGATCTTCCCCGCCCCCTCACAACGCACCCCTCCCCCCCAGGTCCTCCAGAGACCCACTCCCCCACGGCCTGCCGCCCGGTCACACTCACCGGCCCTCTGTGGGGTGACTGTGTCTGCCGGGCGGAGCTGGCAGTGCAGCCGGGGCTGGGCCCAGGAGCCGGAGGTGCGCTGGGGTCGGGCCAGGAGGCAGGAGCCGGAGGGTGAGGCCAGGAGGTGGAGAGGAGCCCTTGGCTGGCTGGTGGGCAGGCCGAGAGGAGCAAGTGGTGGGCAGGGGGGAGCCAGTGGGGTCTTGGGGCGCAGTGCAAGCAGAGCAGGACAGGGACCATTCTGATCATGGGCCCGGCTCCATGGCGCCACTAGCGCCATTGTAAACCTGGCACTGGCCATACACAAACATACACATGTACACACCCATGCACACACAATCAGCCATACATGTTGTGACATTATTGATATAATCTGGGACCATATAGATCATTGTTGCAACCAAGGTCCTGTAGTGGCACGCAAATCTTGTATAAAGGGGGTCAAATGGGGTGTCTAAGACAAGGTTATGGTTTACTGGTTATGATTAGGCTGTCAATATGTGTGTATCAATTTTGTAGTTGAAGTTACGAATATTGGCTCTATACTGTCTGTATTTCAAACTTATGCTATGCTGCTGGGTGACATCCCAGACAAGCTGGGATTAGCTCTGCCTAGCCTGCTTGATGGCCCATTAAGGACCATCAGCTATACAATGGACCCATTGAGAGAAGGCAAATATGCCTTCAGACTCAGCAAAGTATGCAGGAACTTGCCCATGTGACTCCAGACTCCATTTTGCTGTAATTTTCCACAGTAAGAACAAAGAGGTGTTCTTACACCTGGAAAAGACTATATAAGGCTGATTCCTCATCTCCATCTGGTCTTCAATCCTGCTTCATACCTCTGGAGGAACTTTGCTACAAGCTGAAGCTTTGAACAAAGGACTGAGGACCCATCCCAGCTGGGGATGTTCCAGAGACTTGATTTGAACCTGCAGTTTATTCTATCACTGCTGCAAGCCTGAACCAAGAACTTTGCCATTCCTGTATGTAATTGATTCCATTTAACCAATTCTAACTCTCATCTCTATCTTTTTCCTTTTATGAATAAACCTTTAGATTTTAGATTCTAAAGGACTGGCAACAGCGTGATTTGTGGGTAAGATCTGATTTGTATATTGACCTGCGTCTGGGGCTTGGTCCTTTGGGATCAGGAGAACCTTTTTCTTTTACTGGGGTATTGGTTTTCATAACCATTTGTCCCCATAACGAGTGGCACTGGTGGTAATACTGGGAAACTGGAGTGTCTAAGGAGATTGCTTGTGAGACTTGCGGTTAGCCAGTGGGGTGAGACCGAAGTCCTCCCAGTTTGGCTGGTTTGGTTTGCCTTAGAGGTGGAAAAACCCCAGCCTTGGGCTGTAACTGCCCTGTTTGAGCAATTTGTCCTGAGTTGGCACTCTCAGTTGGGTCCCGCCAGAACCGCATTGTCACACATGTACATACACACAGACACATCCCCAGACGTGTACACACACACACACACACACACAGAGGGTGCATACTCACCCCCACAAGCACAGACATGAACTTACCCGATACCTTGAGGCTGGGGCGCATCCGTCTACATTATACGTTGCACCAGTCTCACCACAATCATTTGTAAAATTGGTCTGAGTTCAGTCGGGGCCAGCTCCCATGTGGACAAAATCAGCTCAAACCGGGTCTGTCCTGGGAGAGCCTGTGGCCGGCCAGCCTTGTTAGATGATCA